CCGTCTGAAATTCTGGACTGTGGTCATATTTTTCGATTAGGAGTCGTATATTTAAATAACTCACCGTGACTAATGTTTTGCATTATGAAGTATATTATTATGAAGGTCAACACACTGTACTTTAGGTAAATATTTACCATCTCGTTATTTCATTATTTCGCTTTCCAGCATTTACAGGAAACGCTTCATTCTAGAAAATGCTATCGCAAAACGGTTGGAAATAATAAGTGTAATAGCAGAATACGTCCTAGCACAGTCACTCGACTAGGAGAGTGATTGTGGTCCTAGTAATAAACTAAGTGACTTCTAAAGACTGAATGGTGTTTGCGAACTTCGTATTAGTTATAAACCGACGTTAGCTTCACGTTTATGTCACACCATGGAAACAGCCAAAAACATGGTGCTTGTTTTTGAGCGGAGCGGATCGCCAACCAGCCTACCGGCTTGTTATATACGTTTTGTCACATGTTAAAATATTTATTTTTAAATATTATTATGTACATTGTTCAATAAAAGGCGTTTTACCGGGAGAGGGCGCTAAACACAGAAGAATTTGCTAAAATTAGTATGTTATGTGATGGTATTTTGATCAACAATGAAAATGGCAAAAAGCGGCCTATTTCATGTACGATGAGAACAAAACTATTCTGTTTAAAACAGAATGATAATTGCAAATATCACGAAATATTGCCCGCGACATTCACTAATAATTTATTTTACAATTGGATGTTACCTGATCATCCGCTAACGACATACAGCACTGTGCGCACGACAGCGGCTGATCTGCACTGGCTCGGAAGATGAATTCTGATTGGCTAAAAAAACAAAAAAACTTGTGGCGTTGAATGCACGTTCATTGTCAGTATTGTTATGCAAATTCAAACTAGCCCCACGACAGCTGTTACCATAACTGGGTTATTCTTCGAACTATAGAAAATGGAAAAAATATTAAGTATGGATTTTAATTTCAGTCCAAGGATATTTCGACGGTAATTTAAAATCATGTTTTAATTCTTATAAAGGATGACGTAACTGAAACCTCCCCTAAATCTGAACCTCGCAAAACAACACAATAATAGGGGTAGACACGTCGAATTATTGGTAATAAGGACAAGGTTAAATCAATTTTACTCTTGGTTTAATTTAGACCAGCACTTCAATGTTTCTTGGCGTTTCAAAACACACGTTCCCCAACATTTCCTGACTGGTGAGAAGTCCATATTGCGTTCAATGTAATTTAAATTTCCTGGTCCTATAACAAACATGTTGCTTTATCGCTAATAAAATGCATGCCTATCTACTTTGGCTTAGGCATTGCTCGTCACGTGGGTGAATAATTACGTCGCCACAAACCGTAGGTGAATGATGACGTCACCACAAACCGTAGGTGAATGATGACGTCACCACAAACTTCACACAAAATGATTACGTCGCCACAAACTTCACACAAAATGATTACGTCGCCACAAATTTCACACAAAATATGTTGACAAAATCATCATGATTTATTTTTTTCACAAACTTTACCAACATAATTTTATTTCCGCATTTATGATAGATGCTGCATCACCAACGGAGAAACTATGTTCATTCCGTCCAAAATTAACATATAATTACATACAAATTAGTAAAATTGTGTGAGATGTATCATCGACACTTTGGAGTACAATTACAATTCAGAGAGCTGCTTTCGTTGTTTTAATAGTAAGTCAGAAAGTGTACCTGGACGATGCCAGGTCCAGATGATCATAACTGACCCGTTTCCCATAACAGTGCTTTCTGGTGTTAACACCACGATAATTTAGATCAATCCAGTTGGTTAAACCACTGGTATTTACTGATGCAATAATATATAATATTCATACAACGTAATATTTTTAATATTCACTCACTATGCATCGGAATGTATGGAGATTATAGCGCCTTATTCATTCATAATACGTTCAATATCGCGCATGTATCACTATATATCACGATGTGGACTCTGGCAAGGAACTTGGTTATCCTGACAACATGCATTGTAGTCATAATTTGCACTTGTAAATCGCAAACCACGTCAGGAGAGATAGTACCAGTCAATGTTCGGAAGGTCACCTGCTAAACAATATAATTTAAATCAGTACATTGTCTAAAAACAATAGGGTGACGTGAGCGAGCGAAACCAAGAAAGTGATGTATAGTTGTTCATGTTTGGTATTTTGAATGTTGTGTTTCTCTGCGAAGAATTTTGCTTCTTAATAAATACGATTGGTGGTATGCTGTCGAGGTTGATGCATAAACAATACCGTAGTATTATTTTGTTTAACAGCTGTGCACCCGAGCTGTTTCACGAGTATTCTATTGTTCTCTCGTCACTGGCTTCAGCTCTGTCACCGTCATCAGTTTTGTTTGCACGAAGAATCATTTCATAAAAGTCGACATGGTCCGTAGTCTCACGATGAAGGAGGTAAGTGTGCCTACAATCAATTCGACTATTGGTATTTTTTTTTACTTTACTTTCAACCCTGTCCGTGTTTGGTATTTTTAAATAGCATAACATAATATTTATAATAGCAACACTGATTTGTGTGTGTAATCAAACGGATTGACGCCACGTACGACCGTTATACAAGAATGTTGTTCACGTGATCTCCGTTCAACTGTGATTTCCTGGATGATAATAACCACCAACAGCGACGAGCTCATCCCGTATTAAACGCGATGTTATGGGTTTGGTCAATTGTATTGCCGATGAACCCAGGTTAGAAATTTGTTTTTTATATTGCCTCGTCGTGAATACCATTTAATATACATTTGCAGTGCATGGAAATGTGGTTAATAATTGTAAGAAGAGAAACCATTAGACAATATAGCGGCCATTTTTTTTAATTACAAAAACATTCTTCGCAGTGAGTATTCGCAATAAATGGCTCTAAGGCACGATATGAGATTGTCTCAACTGCGCGTAAATAATTAGAAAACATCGTTCATTGGGAATACTCTCCGAATGAATAGAGACTCTGAATAGTTGGTAGTTTGGAATTTACAAGCATCTTAGACTGGCAAAATACTTCGCCTCGCTTGCATGGAAAAAAATGGTAAACACCTTCTAATAAATAAATAGCTCAAACCCATTTTGTTAAATGTAGCAGACAACTATAATATCTATTTCTTGTTCTGAGTTACCCAGAGAAAAATGTTTCATACAATCGACGCTAGATGACACTATCTGTCACATTAACCACATTCTCTGGACATTGATAATTTGGTGATCTCCATCAATAAAAACACACGTGTAATTGACATTCGACAATGGCGCCGACAATTGACAGCACACATGATTCAGAGAAATTGCTTTATATCGAAGACAAATTGCCATCCACTCGATGATCCTCGTCATCAGCCACGGATTCAAACAGATCAATGAACCCATGATCCACTACATCCATTCCTCAAATTTCGACAGATAAATCCTAGCAACATTTGACATAACTAGACTTGTTCATTTATGTCATTTAATTTCAATCAGTGTAAGAGTCGAGTGAACCTCCTGGTAGTGCCAGTCCCATTGAATTGTCAGCCATGTAGACCTTTCGCCATCTGTTACAGAGGTTATAATTTTATAATAATAATAGTCACTTTATTCGCAAATTGCGATTATATAGCAACAGGTCGAAATAAATGCTCCCATGCAGGCATTGTCACGTATCATGGAGGTAAGATAACATAACCCATTACTTGTATATAGCAGTAGGGAAAATTGAAAAGATCAAATATGGGCGAGAATATGTAATTTTAGTATTGTTGTATTATACTGTACATGTATATTTACACATACATTGGACTGTGATTTATCATGAAAAAATGATACAATGTAATTTTCTTAATGCGCACTGGGTGTTTTGGTACGTACAATAAAAACACTGCACATGAGTATTAGTGGTTTTTATTTTGCATCTAACGAATGCTGTTGTGTTCCTGCAAACGCAGCATTTTAAGTATATGATAAATCATCAGCCGATTTTCTTTAAACCGACTTCAACAATATTAGAAATGTATGTTAGACATTGATCACATGACTATATCGCAATATCACGATACGCGATATTTCCAAGATGGCGGACTTGCTTGAAATCGAATTAATAATATATAGCGAGAAAGTCTTGCATCTTCATACACCAAGAGATTGGATCGGAAAAATGAATAATTAAATTGTAATATATTAATATAAAATCATTTTTTTTTTATAAATCTCCATAGAAACGAATAACACTTCTGTACATGTATATGTATTACATTGATAGATTGTGATATATAGAGTTTGAAGTTATATAAATACAATAAAAAGCAATCAACAAATTAAGGGAATTTCTAAGACTTTAGTTCACAGAATCACATAACAATATTTTATGGGTCGGACGCTTTGACAACAATCCACCATGTAAAAGTAAAAAAAAAATAGAAAACATGTTAAAGACATCGTTCCTTTCAATATTGCTGCCATAATGTGGTGGTGTACTAAAGTTTCTTTTGGACCCGAATGCATTGGGCTTAATATTCCATTGTCTTATTGGATCTTTATCAGGTTTTTAAGAATAATATGTACAAAATAAAATTTTGTGAAATACAACAACATTGGTCAGATTATACACTGTCGTTCCATGATTTATATAACCTTCCATGGCGCTTGAAGAATAATCTGGTGGAATCCAACACTTTCACTATTTTTTCACACTGATTTTTCTTTTAAAATCAGATCAGACAAAGGCCTCTTATTGGATTATTTATCCGACATCATTATTTGCCGTCCGACATCATTATTTGCCGTTACCAGATTAATTAAAACTATGTATTCATGGCATGACCTAATATGCGACATTAGTCCGATGGTGCCAGTGTTCAGTAGTAATTTTCATTCATTAGTGTCGCTTAATTAGTTATTTGAAATATACAGTGCATTATACATTTAATCACTAGTACCAAGCCTTAAGCGTCATACATTACTTTCTTACCCAATAGTGTTTCATTTTATCTTTTGTCATTGGAATCGCAGGTTATACAGCAATAGTAATCACGTTTACTTTCAGTGGTTTATCACGAATAAATAAAAAAAACTAAGAATACTAAACACGGTGGAACAGAGAAGACATTTTGGAATGTTAGTCATCCATGAACCAAATCGTTTGAGGCATCACGATGCTAATGGTTCAAGTTGTTGTTTGAAGTATAACTGTTGGAGTAAACTACACCACACAAAACGAAGGCTGTTGTTTTAACAATTTTGATAAAGCCCGGCAGTCTACTTATGAATCTCGTGTATTTTACACCAGTTGTAAACGTCGCATGAAGCCTATGTCGAACACGGCGCGGTAAGGCGACTGTTATGCAATTCTCACAAGGTTCGTATACCAACGTTCCAACGCAATTTGTTTACCAATCTGTTCCAAATGACAACGTGTATATGTTGATAAAACAATATCTTAATATAATCAGCGAAAACTTGATAAATCTGTAAATATTTTAAGGAATAAATTACATTCTTGTAAATCCTAAATTCGTTTGAAATGCCATGATTGTTTTTATGATTCCTGCTTTGAACCCAAATAACCAGAATCACCACATAATATTTTATAGTAACAAACTGGAATGAAAGTGAACAACCAAAAAGCAACAATAGATCAAATACAACTAATTAAACATCGCCGACTGTCTGTTCCGATGGGTTCTTTGTCTAATTAACATACGCATACATAGGACTATTTTTAAGACTATTTGTACACTTTCACATATGAGTGAACTCAATAATTTCTGACCCTGGTGAAGTGGATATTTTGCCATTCTGATATACTGTGGTTTGTGGTAAGATGCTAATTCACACTGTGATGACCAGTTCATAGGCTTCATTACCAGCTTACAAGGGTTATTATTTTATAATTGCCGTCTTTTTGCGTCTGTATAGTGGCATATTACCAATACAATAAGCACGTTTCAGATCTCCGCTTATTTTGTATTCTTTTAATTCGTGAATTGACCCGCTAAGCGTATATTCAACGTGACAATGCATAGCACAACGATGAATGATTACGTCAGCTGTGATGCTAGTGTTCATTGGTGCTTTTATTTCAAAGGACTGGTGACCTGCGGTTCTCGGTAATGTCAATTTGATATTTCTGAATAGGCTGTTGCTAAGATACTTACAGTAAATAAAATGATTGAAATATTTTGTTTTTATTGTTTTCATCCATTATTGTGAGTGTTCCTTTTATATGAGTAGCCACAACATGACACAAACCTTGTTTACGCACAGGGAGCCCAGGAACTATGATCAACTGTACGCATTCCCTATGAGCGCGCGGGGGAGGGGGTAATCGGCTGGCCATGGTATCTAGTGTAAGAAATAGACGAGGGACGAAGGCTCCAGCCAGCTCATATTTTTTAAACAGGAAAAAACAGACGAACAGAATGAAAAATAAAATCTATAAAAAATACCAGGTTGAATAATATTAGTTGCTCTTTCAAATTTCACCAAAGCCTTGCCTATATTTTACCTATATCTGCAGAATAAATCAAGAAAACTACACAAATTGACTCCATTTACGAATAATTAACGGTTTGCCCGAACGTTTTTACAGGAAATAAAATGAATGTTCCATTTACAGTAAAAAATGTTTGTTTTTTCATTTTACAGATAAAGCAAATTCCTAATTATATTTTACATAATATATTGATAATTTGTGTTTAAGAATCAAAAGTGAAAATTGCATACGAATTACGACATTTACTGTGGAAAATGTGTTATACGCTTACCAAACAAAATAACATCTTTGTACAAACTACGGACGAATAAAATAGCTGATTGCATTTTTACTGACACCTTGCCCATTTACGTCTTTTATTTGTTTAAATTACATTATAATTATGAAAATATAAACAATTCATTACAGCTTTCGTAAATAGCCCTTGCCGACCATTTTGAAACGTGTAGACAAACCGAAAACTTAACGATAAGTGCCAACTGTACTTAAATGAACGTATACTCTATATTCTCGCATGAAATTGAATTCGAGACACTCAATGATACTGTCAAATTCAGGTCCATCCTGGGTAGTAATGATAAACACCTAACAACTGGTCTACATACAGGCCGCTTTCATGATTAGAAATAAACAATTTCCAGAGTCAATCACCTAACAGTTCTTATTTTCATTTATAAAACCTTATTAACTTTGAACATAAAAGGAGATGTCACACCTTCTTTACGGTGGAAATTTAATTTAATTTAATTTAATTTATTTTATTTTATTTTATTTTATTTTATTTTATTTTATTTTATTTTATTTTATTTTATTTTATTTTATTTTTTTATTTTATTTTAATGCCTTGAAATGTGTGTTGTCTATTACAGCTGAGCTACCGACCACGTGCTATGCTATGTAGATATTTCATAACCTCAGTTTACATCATATTTATGTTTGTAATGATTTCGTGGTTGGTATCCTACACACCCGGTAATGTCATCAATGCAATGCGAAAGATGGGTTGGGATTCAGACGTTGATTATATCCATGTTGTTACAGCCACCGATTCGAACTTTTTTCCAGGTATAGTATTTTGATTTAACGAATACAATAAATTTAAAGTGGAAATAAAAACAGTTTTTAAAAAAATTGTTCGTTGCAAAATTTTAACGGAACGGAATGGATTAACTCTACAAGGTGTGGTAAATTTCCTATAGGTGTAGCTGCTCTGGTTAATTCGTTGCGCATTTCAACTCACGTGCCGGAAAGAATCAAAATTCATGTACTCGTCTGTGGAGATGAATATGACGTCACAGGTTTGCGTGAATATCTCGAATGTCACGGAATCAAAGAGTCACATCTGGTAAGTATGAGCGAGAAGCTGAAAGGGCGTCATTATGTATGCAAATTGTGACGTGAAACGATTTTTTTTTAATTCGCTGACATAGTTGACAATACGTGTATCTACTCTACTTACGTAAAGTCCCGTCACTGGGTTAAAAATCTCGGGCAATTTAGTTCCCTTAAAATTTTCGTTTTCAACAACACACTTCTTTGATATTACTACAAACATGTATACTTACAAATTTGTCCACTCATTGACGTGTCAACAAAGTAAAAGGCGCTTAGACGCTCATTAATTAGTGCAATACACACCTCGCCTCGGCCTCGTGATCCCCTCGTTATTAATTTTTGATATGTAACCAGTGTGCATCTACTTTATTTCAGTTAGAATTAGTTCGTTTTGATACTAACTTTTTAGACGAAGATCTTATATCATCATGGGAAGGCATGTTTGTCGCTAAGCGACTTAGAAGCAGTTGTAACTACGCCAGAAGCTACCTGTACAGGTAAACACAACCCCATTACTGTTCTCTTCATACTCCGCATAATGAGGCATACTAATATCGGCACATCAGTTGCAACGCGCGTTATTGTGTTGAGGGCGCATTATTCCCGATACCAAAGCGAGGCTTAATTGCCATGTCCAGGGCTGCCACTTAACTGCACGTGATAACCCTCTCTGTTCATGTTCAACAACTGTACAGCAACATTGCACACGACGACGAAGTTGGTGTTACCACCTGTATCTAATCCACTTTATCTAATATATATGAGCGTTGTTCGTCGTATACCGCGTTCGAAATGTATTCTAACAATGTGTTTTACAAGCTTTCGTTTTTATGGAGGAAAAACAATATTTTTACCAAGTAAAATCATATTTATTAAAGTTATTTTTATTACATGGGTTGCTGAACACACTACATATTTTGTAATTTAATTGAGTCATAATTCAAGACAAAAATCAGTAATTATTAAAAATATTATTCGGGTATACATATGAATACTTTTTAATGGAACATATTTCTGAATTCACTTGTCAAAATCATTTTTTTCGGGGTTTTTGGCCAAAAAACGAATGAATTGCACAATGTCGAAAACGGAAAGTCTTTATCGTCGTACATTATATTCCTTGCACCGTGTGGGGCACATATCGAACACATTGCGGCGGCGCATTTTAATTTATCTCCCAATATTGCATTAAACGACAGAAACTCAAGGACGTTTATAAAAGTTCGAATTCTAATTGACCAAACCAGAACGGGAAATAGTATTGTGATATCATCGTGAGTTGTAATTAATATTAATAACTTTGTTCAACATCATCTAAATCATCTTATCACCCACAGTGCTTGAAGGACGACAGTCGTCGCGCCACGCATGCGCGAGATATATGGGTCTCATATAAACAAAGATGTCGACTTTGACTGTTGCGCAGACTGCTGACTGTTGCGAGTACAAACTGAGACGTTACCAAGCTTTAATTGGGTATTTTTAGGTGATTGGAAGGTATCGAAGGAATCACCGGCGGTAATCAGTGCAAGTCGCGCCCAGGTCAAACCTCATACTTTCATTAGAAGAGCCACGACTGCCGCCCTTTAAATGGCGCTGGTGACGCGTCCTTTTTGATATTGCGACCCATAGCGACGTATACAACGCGTGTAAAATACATTGTCTTTGAGTCAGTCACTATTAGGCATTTGAATTTGAATGGAGCTCTGATTTTATCCACATTTTACGTTTGTGAACTGTCGTTCACTGTACGATTTAACGTAATTATATTTTTTTTATATTAGGTCATTTCCTGATTTGAAGAAAGTTATTTATTTGGATTCTGACATTGTTGCTAAGCAACCGATAGAGTCGTTATGGAGGTTAGCATCTCAATTGAACGGCGTGCCATTACTTGCTGTGGATAACAATAGGACATATATCGATGATAAAGTTGATGTTGATACTGTGTCAAAATTATATTTCAAAAGGTTAGTTCGAAGTACTTAGTGGTTGTACGTGGCCTTTGCAAAACCATGTTCTCTTTGTGGCATAGATTTGGTATAGATTCATTTAATTACTTGCAATGACAAATTTAATAGACAAAAATAAACGGAAGTTTTCAAAATAATTATCCAATTTATTCTTTTTCGCTTACTCATAAATATTCTAGGTACGGTCGCCATTTTGACCCAACACTGACTGTGTTTAATGGAGGTGTATTGGTCATGGATTTGGATTTTTTCAGAAAATATCACTTAATCGATGAAGTTGAGTTCTGGATTGATCAGGTATGATTCTCGTTTTATTTTATTTTAGGTTCATTAAAGTTTAATGATATTATTATTGCTTAGTGCTATCATATGCAAGAAAATAATGAAGTAAACAACATTTTTTGACGGAGATAAACGTGTTTTTGTTTCCCCTAATTATGATGTGAACACGAGACTGTGGAGGAATAGCAAAACACGCACCTTTCAATTATGACAAATTCTAATATTTTTAACAATGTGTCGGGGACACATAATTTCAAATATAGGGAGGCCACAAACCTATTTGTTTGATGACTAATTGCACCTGTTGTAAAATATCGAGATGTCAATTCTGTACAACTAGTAGTTCCACTTTGAAGCATGTGTGGACAAATATTAAGCACATATTTGACATAGGATTAATAGTTGTACTATATTATTTTCATCAGTACGATCAGTCGCCAGTTAGATTATGGAGATTTGACTGCCAATCTATCTTTCATATTATTTACCACGAGTTTTGGGGAAAACTCAACCATAAATGGAACTGCAAAGGGCTCGGACGTGACATGGGACGTGAGCAGGATTTAATAGACAGCGGTGCTTTGTTACATTGGTCGGCAGCAAGTAAGTAGTCCTTGTCCAATATCTAAGTGGTTTCGTGTTCAGTGTTTGGAATCAGCTGTCGCCCAGTCAATATTAGGTTTGCCGTTGTTTTCGAAACAGTATAGCCCATAGCGTTAACTGGTGTTTTATTTTGAGTTGCACAGACGTTTAACGCAGACGTCAATGAATTTTATTTTACTGTAATTACTTACTAATCAATATATTAAAAAAATGCATTATTGGTCATATTGTAGTGAAACACTTTATTAGACTAAGAAAATGGCCGCCGAGATCTCGAGAACGAGAAGATCACGAAAACCTCTCAAATGAAAGTCGAGTAAACATTACTAATACCTTACTAGTATGTCTCAAATTACTAAACAATGGCGAGAAATCAGAGATTTCGAAAAACAAGTATAACTCATTTTGTGGATAGTTTTTTATTGTTTTTATTTATTTCTCCGTAGATAAACCATGGAATGGAGAAGGCCCATATGTCGAATTATGGAAACAGTACAAGCCGGCAGAATGCTCATTACATGGACAGTGTCATCATAATCCAAATGCTACCATATATGGATATTATAATTGTAAATGTGATACAATGTATTACGGTACCTATTGTCAACATAAGAGATAGGACCCTTTAGTAATGTGGAGAGTGGCATTGTGATCCAATGCATTGTGGTCAATATGGAATACAGGGCTCTTCAGCAGTTTGGGTGATATCAGTAATGCGAGTGCCACATAGAAATATGCAAATTTGTTTGTGCAATTGCCAGGAATGTATTCTGCTATATCTTCGGGACTGTGACAGATGTGTCAAGAAAAATGCTGTCAAAACCGATGACTCTAACATTCTCGAACAGTTCTCGCGATAAGTGATGCGGATATATAAATATGGGAATTAGTATTCCTAATGTTATAGTATTAGAAACATCACAGGTAAAATAAACTGCGTAAGATTGTCCTGACTGCATTATGCAAATATTAATAAATTAGACAAATTGACAGACACATTACGTCAACTATGACGTCATGTCTACTGTAAATTTACACTTGCTTGTTACCTGTAACAAAAATAATATTTTATTTACAAGTATTTAGCGACGATATTACTAAATGCTAGAAGCATTGACTACAAATTTTAACTTGTTGATGAAACGCTTAAATAATTTCAATTACTTTATGATGCTATGTGAGGCTTTCTTGTCACGTGGTTGTTACACCAACAACATAGTCAAAAGATGGGAACTTACCATCGTATTGACTTGTTCGAACGTTCGGTAAAGGACTCGGATAATTCAATGGGGGCAGCAGGTGTTGACTGTTCGGTCATTCGCAATCAACTTGAACGTTTTATTTGCAAAGGCAACATTCCAAACAGTTGAATGGTGGTGACATTACATGTTATAATGACGTCACTACAGTAATTGACACGTGATCATGCAATCTGAATAATATAACTATGAGCTCAAATACATATATTGTAATTGACTGTTTTTCAATAAATTTAGTTTTGGCATTCGAATACACGGCTTCAAATGGTTATAATACTAGTATTGTTCCCCTGTTTGTTTTCAAATTGCATGTTGATGTGCACACTGGATCATAATTCGACAATGAACGACGTCAATGGTGTCACGTGTTTCGAATTAACAGTACGTACCAGTAAAGAGTACTATGTTGCGCCAGACTGAACCAACGAACACAAATTCAAAAACTTGATCACCTTGATCACATTACCTCTTCAATATACGTCATCCAAGGAAAATGAGCTGCATACTATGTTGCTGTATTGTTCTGAAAACTGGAATGGGGTGTGAAATAAATCAAAAAACCTGTTTGTACTTCAATCTGTATGACGCATTAAAAATGGGGTGGGGAATATTCTTGATATGTTAATACAAATCTTTATGAGTTATTAAATAATTTCTGCTGCAATAAAATGTATACAATACTCTTATATACTTGTTTTTTACTCATTGATCACTCTTAGTGTTTCTGGTCACGTGTATTGTTAAACCAAATCACTTTGGTCGTTAATTCGTTTTACTAACTAAACTAAAAATGAATTTTATTAACACAAAGACGATTGATATCTTGTGTACTGGTATAAAATTTCTTTTTGGATGTACATATTTAGGGACCCGAAATAACTTTGAAACTATATGTGCTTAATAATCACTTTGAAACTATATGTGCTTAATAATCACCATTTTTTTTTCATTTAAAAACATTGTCGTTCATCGATGTATCAATCCTGAATGCAAATAGTGTTAAATATAATTCCTCAATATTTCATCATTTGATACAAGTGATGTATCGCCGGAAGCTTATATAAATCCGCACAGCAGGCGCGGATTGATCCTAATCTGGCGGTAATCATGATTGAGACGGGACATATCCATTATATTTATTTTGCTAATGTCATTGAGAGGTTATAGTTTTCTAGTAATTTCATTTGTCAATGTATTTAATATTTCGGTTGTTAGATATAACATATTTAGTTTAGCATAAGACCTGTAATATGTTAAGTTGTAATGAACTTACGTATGGTTTGAATAGAATTAAAAAAATAATTAAGGTAGAAGACTACTCATAATTTCTGAGAAAGCTTGTCATAAATCGCATGGCAATATTATTGTTTATTATAGCTCTATGGCACAATTAAGATAAGCATTTATTCGTGTGTTACAACAACGTTTTTTGAGAAACTTGTCAATATTTTCTAAAAATTGCTATTTTTAAAACAACTCCATAGAACACAATGTTGAAGACGAAATGCATTTTTGACACTTTTTACAACTCAGATTTTTGAAATAATTCAGAACAACAAAAAGTATCCCATCAGTCACAAGATCACCAGGCTGCGATTTATATGGAATGATATTTCTGCCATAAGAACCTATGATATAAGTGTTATGATACCGACAAAATGGCCACTGACAACTAAAATACTACCATCATTTTCTCAAAAAATAGGCTGATGACCCCAACTTTTTTTAGTCAATATATTTATATTGCCTCCAGTACAATTTATTGTCAAAATGACCAGATTTTCATGTACTAAATATAGTTGCATTCAGGAGATAATGCATTGACAGACAGTACTATTTCTTAGTATTCACTTACTGACTCTAATTCTCCCAATTCTTTACCTTAACGTACACTCGGGAATTGAGTCCTAAGCAAC